TTCTCTGTCCACGTATATAAATTAATGGTAACTGAGGCTACTCAAGTCTACTCAACCATAGAAGAGAATTATACTATAAGTATATATGGATTTCATTTGATACACTGATCAAATAATACTTTAGATAATACTTTATAAAATAATAAATCGTAAAATTATATTTTCAGCAATCCGCTGCAAAATAGGACATGGTTTTGCATGACATACTTCCTAATTTTAACCCATATTCCTTGTAGATACCACAAAGCAACTGTAGTCTTGTAATAGACTGTGATGATCTATCTGTCAGGTATTGTTTATTGGAACTCATTTGTTTATGAATATATTACTCTAATGACCATGAGAATACATATGATTAGTATGTACGGTTGAATCTGGCGTGTTTTTTTATGTTTATTTGTCTGGTTGGCTGTGATGAGGAAGATTTCTTTTTGTCTAGGCTAAATAATCTCTGTCTTTTATTTATTTACCAGTATAAATCAAAAAATATGAGTAACCAAGAGAACATACCCGGATGTGCAATGTCGCTCAAATGAAACATGTTTTTTAGTATTTCATTAAGAACTGGACAGAAATTAAAGGGGAAGGATTTGTGTTTTTGGTAAGACGGTTACCAATTTTGCTGCACGATTGCGGAGAGGGCAACAACGTTTAATTTTATTTGTATGAAAAACCCTAACCCTAAATAATTTTCAGTTTATCTGCATGAATTATATTTTTCAATTTCTTGAAACCTTGGAATCGTCAGTGAGTTCATGTGTGTGAATGACTTGTCAGCTTTGAAAAATACATTGAAAATATGTAACATAAATAAACACACTGGTACATGTATCATAATACTTTTTAGCTTTCAATCTATTCGCATGTCATGGTCCTTATAGGGCGGTCCTCGTCGCGCCGCGCATGCATAAGATATGGAATTCATGTGAACAAAGATGGCAACTTAGTCTGTTGCAGACCAACGAGTACACACTGAGACGTTACTAGGCTTTAACTATAAAATTACCTTGGCAATTGGAAGATATCGAAGAAGTCACCGGTGGTAATTAGTGCACATTGCACCCAGGTCAATTCTCGTACATATGATTTATATTAGAATATTCACTCATCAGATCTTACAAAGTTGGAATGGACCTTTAAATATAGCTACGTTGGTCATTGGTTGAAAATAAATTGTATTCGAGTCAGGTTATATGACAAAGTTAACACAAGGCTGCCATGCTATAAAATAAAGTATTTTATATCCAGTTTCCATCGAATTCGTGTATCTTATAATAATGAATTCAAAATGTTTGTAGGAAGAATCACGTGCACCTTACATTAGAGAATACTTCTGCTCTACTTGAAAGTGTTGCCACCAGTACCACCAGTAGTATGGATTACTGATACTGACTGTGCCTGACTGACCGGAGACTGTGCTGTGTATTTGAGCATGATGCCACAGACACAAAAATGACGTAATACAGCCACTTTGTAAGGGAGGGCAAGATGTTCATATAGTCATGTCAACGACAATATTTAACTCATTGTAATTGCCACATGTCACAATTTGGAATCACAACGTTAACATTATACGTTGAAATTATACGTTGAAAATTTCTGAAAAAGATTGACTGGATTATGAGTGTCTTCGCAAACTGGCAAGAAGACATCCTATTATACGAGAAATGTAGAACGCCACACTCACAACGCTAATATTGTTAATATAGG